TCCCTGTTGCAGAACTGTGATGAGAGGTTTCAGTACAAGTACCAGCTGCGCTCCCACATGAGCATCCACATCGGGCACAAACAGTTCATGTGCCAGTGGTGTGGCAAAGATTTCAACATGAAACAGTACTTTGATGAGCACATGAAGACACACACTGGTAAGCACTTATCAAAGAAAAGCAAGAGTAACTCCAGGACAAAAACTTCCCTATATATCCAGCTGTATTCCAATCCTTGGAGCTGGGGGTCAAAACTCTTAGCCAAGCTAGAAAATCCAACAGCAAAGGTTCACGCAGGACCTTGCTGTAGTCCTGATTCCTTGGGGGGGAGATGAGAGGTTAGCCTTATTTCCTTATTCTTTTGGTCAAAGCCTTAAAAAAGCTTTTGCACATGCCAATCCAGAGGTGAGAGAGGCTTCCACAGGGAGTGAGGCCTTCTGCAGGACAGCTCTCTGTGTGTTTGCTGAAGGCAGCAGCCCCAGCAGCTCTTGCAGGCTGCCGTTTGTTCTCCTGAGCTGCTAAAGGGAGAAGGAGCAGATACTCTGGGCCTCACCGATTGCTCTATCTGTGCTCGGCAGGAGAGAAGCCCTTTATCTGTGAAATCTGTGGCAAGAGCTTCACCAGCAGGCCCAACATGAAGCGGCACCGGCGGACGCACACGGGGGAGAAGCCCTACCCCTGCGACGTCTGCGGCCAGCGCTTCCGCTTCTCCAACATGCTCAAGGCCCACAAGGAGAAGTGCTTCCGTGTCACCAGCCCCGTCAACGCCTCTGCTGCTGCCCAGATCTCCCTCTCCACAGCTCCTCCTGCCACCACGGTCCCTGCCGTAGTGAACGCCCCCACCGCCCCGGCTCCCCCCATCAACCTGAACCCCGTCAGCGCGCTTCCCCCGCGCCCCATCCCTCACCCCTATTCACACCCTCACCTCCATCCCACCTTCACCTCCATCCCCCTCCTCACCACCCCCATCACATCCCCGTCCCCCCGGTCCCTCATTTACCCCCTCCTCCAGCTCTTTTTAAGAGCGAGCCTTTAAATCACAGAGGCCAGAGTGAGGACAGTTTTCTGCGACACCTGGCAGAAAAAAACAGTTCAGCACAGCACCACTAACATCTTTGCTTCCTGCCAGCTCTTTTCCCACTTTATGCACATGGAAACGTGCCCTCGTGGAAAAGTACAGAGGGTTAGTTGGTGAGGATCTTTGTCTTTCTCTTAGCCCCAGCAGAAGGTCCTAATTTTTCTCCTTGAATCAGTTAACAAACAAGGAAATCCTGTTTTGGATCAGCAGCGCTCGTTTGAAGCTGGGAACCAACAGGACTGAGACCCAATTTGCTTGTGTTTTTCCTGGTGACTTTTCTAAATTTCAGATCCTGAGACTTGTGGAATTTTATAATTTCATATCAGCTGATGAGGTATGCTTGCTTTTATATCCTGGACTTCTCCTCAAAGAGGAGACAGGCCTGGTTTTCTTTGTACTAATCGGAAAGGCTGTGAGATTAATACAGAGCATTAATTGTATCACTGTGTATTGTAATGGATTCTTTTCAGCTTTTTGGTGCTGGCTCTGGAGTGAGCCAGCCACGTATCACAGTATATCTGAGCATTATAAAGAAAGACAAAAAAATGTCTTGTTTGTGTAGCTCTCCTAACACACTCTTTATTTTACTACAGAAATTATTTTAGAGTTTTTTGTATAGACCTATTTAGTAGTCTGTTTTTAAAATGAAATGTATTTCAATAAGCGGTGTAATTTTTTCAGTGTAGCTGGACCTATGTTGTATAATAGATAAATTTTTATAATCATCCAAATGTGATTCTTAAAAGATGCATATAGCTTCTATAGTTAAAGTTATTTCTTACAACTGTACAACTTTAAAAGGTGCTTCAGAGAAGAAAGGAACCCAAGAGGTCTCTGGAAAGGTTGCCTCAAAAGTGATGTTGATTTCAGAACTTTAACTTATTTTTTTCCCTTTTTTTTCCCCCTTTTTTTTTTTTTTTTTTACCCTTTTCACAGTTCCTCTTAAGATTTTTGGACAAGGATGTTGGGATAATATATTCCTGCTCCACAGGTTTTCTTTAGTTCAGTTGGAGTGAGGTAGGAGATGGGTTGGAAAGGGAGCCCCTTACCCAGAGGGACCCACTAGTTTGGGAATAGAGAGCCACGAGAGATTGAGAATCTATCAGCAGAGAGGGAGTTGAGTATCTCAAGTCAGCCAACCATCCTTCCTCTTTGCCCAGGAGAGCTGGTTTTTGTGGCTTTTCATGCTGTGAGTTCAGTTGGGGATCATGTCAAACACTGCTCTTCAGATTGCTTTTTGGAATTCCTAGAGTTGTTAGGAGAGGGGAATTAAGTGAGATCCTAAATGTGGTGGTTTTGGCTGGTGGCTTGTAAGAGTGAGAAGAGAAGTTTGGATGAGGCAATGGTGTTTCAGTTGCATTGTTAAGAACATAGCACTGTGTGTACCATGTGAAGCTCTATCCCATAAATGTAATGTGCTTAAAATGATGGGATGATTTCTAGGGGTCGTAGTCATACTTTGGGCAAATCTTAAGTTTTCCAGTTGTAGGATAGGAAACTTTGGATGGTAGGCATGTCCCTGTTCCATAACCCTGGGAGGCAATGAGGGGGAAATGACAAGTCAGTGCAGGGATGGTGGGCTGGGATGCCAAATGTATCAGTTTTAACCAGCAAGTAGCTGTTACTCTTTCAGGTTTGTATTTCTCTTCAACTAAAACTAAGTATAGCAGCATTATGCAATCTAGGAACTTGTTGCCACCTTCAATGAAGACAGAGGCCCAAGGCAATGTACTGTAAGTCCTCTTTTCCTTAAAATTCCTACTCTTCTGTGCTGCTTTTTAAATGAAATCCCACCAAACTCTTGACATCCAGAGATCCTCGTAGGCACGTGTCGAACTCACTCGTTCTGCTTGGTAATGAACTGGGGTTTGGGGGCTATTGGGATTCATTTTTATTTTCAAGATAGTAGAAATTCTTCCTGGCATTACTTCCTCAAGGTTAATGCTGTTGAGCACTGTGCTTTGAAACACCATGGCATCTGTTGAGAATTAGCTTCTTAGTTGCTGTTTTTCACCATTTTCTACCACCTAATCATCAATGATGGGGTTTTTTTTTCATAACAAGCATAGGAAACTTTAGGAATCAGAAAAGGGCAGTTTTGGCCCAACAAACCTACTCAATTCTGACTGAGCTGAAAGCCCTTCCAGCATTTCTGAAAAATAAACCAATGTTTTTTAAAGGTTTTTCTCTATAATATTTATATGCACCCTCTTCTAGAAGAAAAAGCCAATTATGAAAGTGAATTTACACTCGTGATTAATGCCTGTTGTATTTGCTGTGGCTGGTCTGCCCTGGAGGTTCTATGCATTCCACGTCACATTTGCAACCTACAGTTCTGTTGTGCCACTATTTTATGGTCAGGCCTGTTATTAAATGATTTTTAAATGATAAAAAAACAAAACCAAACTCTGGTAAACCAATTGTATTCCAGTTTTGCAAAGTGATTTTCTTCTCAATAAATTTACGGTATTAGGCTGCTATTGAGAATCTTAAAATCTGGGACAGTATTTTTTTTTTCCCCTATTATTTAATTCATGGCAATGACACACCTTGTGTTTTCTCCTGATATTTATGAACTTCCTTTCTGTGGAAGCAGATTAAACTAACTAACCCTCTTAACTCTGTCATAATGTGACGTGTCGTCAACAGATTCTCCTCATTATCCAGGAGGTACATACAGAGAGCTGACATACTGGACTAAAAGCACTGCACTGTGGTGTCTTGCAGAGCACATACTTCAGCAAGAGAAGGAAAATGGGTGTTAGGAAAGGCAGGAGATTCCAGGCTGACATTTGCTGTGGGTTCTGCTCAACCACTCTGCCTTGGCACGAATGCCTCCTGCGGCGCTTGCGCAACAGGCAGGAATGTGTTCAGGTGTGTTTGCTGCTTTCTCCTCCTGCTGGCAAACTATGTGTGATGTTTTCTATCAGCTGTACTTTGTTTAGTTAGTTAAGGGCTTGGTTTGTGTTCCTCAAATGCTTCCTTCAAGAAGAGCAAAGACAGATGATAGCAACTTCAGTCTGAATATTTCTGCAAAGCGGGATTAAATTCTCCGTCCTTTTTTCCCCAGAAAACATCCTACAGCAAAGCTTTACTGAATTTTTAAGGGGGAAAGTTGGAACAGAGTTAACTCACAATCAGGAAGTCAACACTCTAAGATGAGCAGTTTTCTCTGGAGCCAGAGTTTAAACTTCTAGTCCAGCAGACAGAGCCTTATCCTGACTAAAGGCATTAGCTGCGGTGAGCTTGTTTGTCCAGCGTATTATCTCAGACTAACTTATCTCTCTGGATAAAGGTGTGGTGATTAGTTGTTTTGTATTCCCTTGCCTGCCTGATTTACTGACTCCTATTTATGCAGCTCAGATGCTTCTTAGATGGCCTCATTTGTATCGCTGTGCCCATCAGAAGTCACTGTCACCCACCTTGTATTCCCAACCCAATCGTAAACTATGGACTTCTGAGAGAGTCCCTTCAGCTGTATTTAGGGTTTTAGCACTGCAGTCAGTTCATATCTCAACACTGGAGTCCATCTGGGTGGTTTTGTCTTTGCCTGGTTGTGTCTGTTGAGCATGTAATAGTTATTTTCAATTAATTGAAAAGAGGAAGAGGTGGAGCTCAGGGTATGAAGTTGAAAATCTGGTGCTTCCCTTTGACAGTGCTGGTCAGTTTTAGCCAAGTAAGTGACAGAGCAAGTTTACCTCAGAGCTGGAAAGGTTAGTATTATAATGCATTTAATTTGCTGCCTGTTTCTTTGCAGTATGATGACCAGTGGTGTGACTATGGGAGAGGTCAAATACCTTTTTGGGGGAATTTGAGAGCTACACTGTTGTGCAGGGCTCTTTGTACAAAGATAATGTGTTGTGTTGACACTGATGATTTTTTGCAGAGTATTTAGGTAATGTGCCTTTGAGATGATGATAAAACAATATGCAGCTTGCAGTGAGGCGTTCAAGAACACTAATAACACCCAGATTTTTTCACTCTTGGGACTGGAGCTCAGGGTCAAAATGTTTAAATTATTATTTTATGGTTTCTTATTTCTATTGATTAACAGTATTTAAAACCAAATTGTGTAGCTCAACAAGACTTTCTGCTATCTGCTAGTAAGAAAAATCTCACTTGTAAATAGAAGATGGATGAAGTTTCTGGTTTAGTGTTGGTTTTGGTCTTTAAACCTGGCAGATGACCTGAGGGGTGATGATGGAGGTGAATTCAATAAACACTTGCCCATTTTCATGACAAAATGAACCCAGCATTCTTTCCAGCCTGTTATGTATTACACTAAGATATCATAGAGATTGGAAGGGACCCATAAGGATCATCAAGTCCAACTCCCCACCACTCACAGGACTACCTAAAGCACAGCACTAAGAGTGTCATCCAAATCCTTGAACTCTGACAGGCTTGGTGACCACTTCCCTGAGGAGCCTGTTCCAGTGACCAACCACCCTCTCAGTGTCCAATGTGAGTGATTTGTGATGGAAAACAAGCCTCTATCCTTATTTCCTACCTGCTTCTGAACTTTTGAGCTCTACTGTTTTTCAGGAGTGACTATGAAAGTTCTTCAGATCTCTGTCTGGTGATGTTGGGGTTTTTAATGGGCATCATTTTGTGTGTGTGTTGATTTGGGTTGGAATAATACGTGCTGCTGAGCAGAAGACTGGTGTAGAGTTTGAGCTTGGGTGTGATCTTCTGCCTCCTGGTCAGTGTAGATACTGGTGGAGGAACCAATAAATACCCTACCTCTAGCCTCAATAGTAAATCTTGCTGCATTTCCAAAGCAGAAGAAAGGTATGCTGAAAATTAATGACTGTGAGATAGTTTCACTCTTTTACAATTAAAATTTGAAAGCAGCAGTGTCAGAAGAGTCACTGTGCAAAATTTGACAGAGGCATTAAGATTTAAAGCCTTTCATAGCACATCACTTGCCAGCTTCCATCAAGTGAACTTACCTTGTACCTCAGTAGTTATTTTACTCATGTCTTGAAAACATTTTTGTACTTATTTCACCATTTGTTTGCTTTTGTAGAGTGCTCTTTCCTGTCAATCCACAGGGAGAGTTCTCTTCAGAGGCTGTGGGTGGGGAAGAAGGAACTCATCTCCCCAGGGCCCATGTGAGTGGAACTTGGTAATGTTTTTGTGGAGATTTACAAAGCTGAAATTAAACTCAAATTAGTAACTTCCACTGTTTTAGCAGACAGAAGGCAGTTTTGGGAGTAATCTGGCACTAGGAAGTGGCATTGTCCTGCTGGCCTTGAAAAGTATAAATAAATAATTCTTACATTTTTCTTCTAGCACATTGATAGTGCTAAAAATAAATTGAATAATATATTGTACATATATTGGAGATATGGCAGAAGAATTAAAATCCACCCTTAGAAGTTCCAAAGGAAGGCAAACATTTGCATTTCCTACAGACACCAGGAAAAAAAGTTGACCTCAGGGTTCACAGATATCCCTAATAAAGATTTTTATCCTGGCAGCCCCAAGATCATTTTGCAGGTTTCAAGCTTCTAATAGAATTCTGCATAAGAAATGAGAATTACATTCATTCCATTAATGCTTCCTGACCCACCAAGATAACTCCTGCCTGAATTGACCTGTTCTGATGAATTCTGCTGCCCAGGAAGCAGCTGGTCGTGGATCACAGCCCATTGATCTCAGAAATCATCATTTTGGGACAACACCACATTCTCCTGCCTCATTAGCTCTGCCTTCTAAAAGGAGGATAAAGATTTGAGAGAGGGATTGAACGATTTGGGGCTTTTGCTTTGCTTTTTTTATTCTCCAGTTTTACAATTGGCCTGTCCCTACGTTTTGGGGTTTTTTTTAAACAAATCCTCTTGTTTTCTTGCTGCTTTTACAGATTGGAATTTCATCTCC